TTTTTTCATCCTGCAAAGCTGGTTTGTTTTAACCAAACAGACCACAGAATACCAACACACATATTGAAACCTGAACTGCTTGAGACTCTCAACAGGTAATTCCCAAAAGATAATTCCCCAAAGGTCCTTCAACTGCTTGAGAATTTCATCAGCTTTCTTAAGACCAGGCCCTTTATTCTCAGCCTCGATCTCATGGATTCTGTCCTCATCTTTAAAGGTAATAGCACGCCTGACCTTGAGGTTGCTACTCGATGACTCTTTGGAAGTCTTTCTCGGTGGGGGGGTCGTGTAAGCATCGTTCTGTTTGGCTTTAGTCGCAGCCTTCTTCAACGACTTGGGATCAGGGCTCCTGCCCCGGGGCGCAGATTTCGATCTGTGCCTGTGCGTTGGGGCTCCGGATGCACCTGGCATACTGACTGGGTAAGCACCTTGATAGGAACGAACGGCTTCAGTACGAACGAAGTCCTGAACTGTACATAAACTGCATCCTTACAGTTTGACATGAGTATTGTCAAATGCACTAACATCTAAAAGAGATACGCCTTTTCCATGGCAACTAGTCTGATCTAGATTGATGCTTTTCATCATGATCACTAATTGGCTGCCAGCTGAGTTGGCATCGAAGGACCTACCTTTTCAGAGCTCTCCGGGAACCCATAGCACAAATTCCGGGAATCCGGGAATCACACCACACATTTTCCGGGAATCCGGGAATCACACCAAACATTTTCCGAGAATCCGGGAATCACACCAAACATTTTCCGGGAATCCGGGAATAAGGACAACACATTTCCGGGAATCCGGGAATCCAACCCCAAAACTTTCACTTAGTTTTCACCTCTCCAGGATCCAGGAATTTTCCCGGGAATTCCCGGCTGATTCCCGGGAATTTCCCGGATTCCCGGATTTTGAAAATTATGTTTTTTTTGTTAACTTGGGTGAATTTGTGATTCCACAACACTATTCCCGACACATCCCGACAATATGTTAATCTTTATTGAGAGATTTGTGGTGAATCCAAGATTCTATGCTATATATCCTCATCTTCATGAAGTAGCTAGCTGATGAATGCCACATAAAGTTCCTCAATGTTATATTTATGAACTCATTCCCTCACGAAGCTCCGAACTCCAACCCTTCCCAACTCTAAGTTGCAAAGGCCATTGGCCCACGTGTGAATTGGGTGCTCTCATGAACGTAAAGCCTGCACCACATCGAGCAGGCGAGCATCCTCAGCCCATTTGCCATCCTGCAGCAGGATGGGCTCTGACGGTTTGGGGGCAGCTCGGGGACACGCTATGCACATGACTCTGGATGTCTCAATCCTGTGTTGAATACCTTTCCCAACATATGGACATAGCAAAGTAACTAGATCTCTATTTGGTCGGTCCTTCATGGGCTTCACAGGCTTTGGAAGATCGCTAAGCTCTTTCCTCGGGACACAAACAGACATCACATGAATGTTGGAAGGTGTGTGCCTTTCATCCCTATCTTTCGATCTCAAGATGGAATTCTACTTTTGATCTCAAGCAGACCTCTGTCTGTAGATGCACTTCATGTTTTTTCCAATGGGAGCACGGTTGAAGCCAGGTGGCGCTCTTTGCTTCACCTCCTTCTTGATGGTCGATGCATGGCGCTCATACGCCTGGGCCACAGCGTGGCCGAACAACTTCGGGTAGTACTGGCTTGCCTTCAGGTCAGATCCTCCTGATACTCTTTGGACACCTTGCGGGTCCACATACCTCAGATTGAGATAGTGTAGCGGATGAACCAACAGGGGCATGACTTCTAATATCTTCTAATGTCAAATGCATGACTTTTTAACTTGGTCAAGCTCTGGATTACCAGAACAGTTGCCTCATATTGACACCACCAGTCCTCAAAGGCCAAACAAAAGCCGAGGCACTTGTTCGCCATTGCAGCCGGCCAGTCCATGTTTTTCGGCAGTGGCAAGTACAACTCCAGCACGAACCGGTAATTGCTGTAGAGAATGGTGGGCTTCGGGCCTGTCGGCGTGAGAACACCCCAGAACACCAACCACAAGAATGCCCAACCACCTGTATAGATAGACAGATAGACAGATAGATAGATAATAGATAGACAGATAGATAGATAGATCAATAGATCGATTAGAGAGATACCACAGGAGCATGAGCATGAATGTTTGCTGCCAAGTCACTTCCACCTCCGTATGCACCGATCCAGCAGAATGCCTAGTGCGCAAGACTTCCACAAGTTGAGGGGTGACTTGTATGGAGGTGCCACTGTTTTTTGGGTCCTGTCAACCTCTCTTGGGTGGCTATAGGGATCACTTAAGCAGCCAAAGTGCACGGTAGACGGTGTATCGCTTGCACAGGAGCTGGAAGTAGGGATATCCAGGGTACACAAAGCTCTTGGCACACCATGAGGCATATGCAAAGCCGGGTCACCATTATGTTCCTCAGATTGCCACTCAAGAGAATGGTGACGTGACCGTTTTGAGGCCCCTATAGATAGACAGATAGATAGATAATAGATAGACAGACAGACAGATAGATAGATAGATAGATCGATCAATATACAACAAACCCAGATAGATAGATAGATAGATAGATCGATAGATAGATAGATAGATACATAGATAGATAGATAGATAGGTCGACAAATAGATAGCTCTACACAGATAGACAAATAGATAGATAGATAGATAAATAGATAGATAGACAGATAGGTAGTATAGTAGTAGCTGTACTAGTAGGATGATGTTCCTTTGTTTTTCACGCATCGCTTGAGGTTGGCAAACTGGCTTCCTGGCCACGTCGCCTGGAGCCTCAACACTTACGGCTTGCGGTCACCACCACAAATAAGCTAAGCCCGAATGAAGGTTGGTGCAGACTCATCTCTGGATCAACACAGCTTTGACATTCAGACCAATAAGTGGTTTTGTTTAGAGAAAGATTCACCATCCTTCATGAACCCCAAATGACCGGCGTTCGAATCGCATCAGTCACGCGCCCCTGAAGACCCTGAAGCTCCACTGTCGACCTTCAGGATTTTGGCCACTTTCTCCCAAGTGCCCTTGATGTCCTTGAGGAAGGAAATCCTTGGGTCAACGGTCAACGGTCAAAGATGGACGATGGTACATGAGCCCCCACTCCTAGCCCCGACGTTTTCTACTTTCAACCACGCCAGAAGGCCCACAAGTCTCCCGCATTAGGCATCTATGCTTTGGCATTTCAACCCAAGAGTCGATCGGCCATCTTCCCCAATCACTTTCTTTCCATCCACATCAGACTTGGGCTTGAAAGCGTGCTGTCTCAGCAGCACCTCCACCCTCGCATCGCCCATCCACCTGGGAGGAAGAGCCCTAACTCCTACTCTACCATTGGATCGAAAGTCCTGCCATGTCCTGCCCCAATAGACATGTAGGGGACCCTAACAATACTAATATACAACAAACCCTTGAACTGAACAATACTTTGTGTGTGGCAAGGCACACAGTGTAGCTGTGCTGGCCATGTTTGCTATTCGTGGGCCACACACATGGGGGCAAAGTCTTGATGAGATTCTGATAACCCTCCTCGAAGCTGGCCAAGACATCAGCCATCTGGGCTGCTCTGTCCTGAGGCGCGTCAAGCTCAGCGCGTGCCTGCTTCGCATTCCTCTTCGACGAGGACCGCTTGGACGCAGTCGACTTTCGCTTGCTCTTGGATCGGTCAGGCGGAGCCCACCCAACAGGTAAGAGGTCCAAAGTAGCAAGAGCTGCGTCGAAGCCGTCTGGGTCCTACAGG